ACAAATCCTACAGTTCTCTCGCTCTCTCAATTTACGATGTTCACGCAAAAATACGCGCGAAGATTATCGCACGTAAAAGTACACGTTCCGTAAAAACTTTTCGATTCAAGGTAACGCGCGTCTCGCAACGTGAACACCCACACAAGCCGGACTAAAAACCGCACGGAGAATCGAGAGCGGAAGCGTACTTTAAAGAGAACACTCGAGAGAGAGAAAGAGAGAAAAAAAGAGAGAGAAAGAGAACGCGCTCCGAAAACGACCTTGTCCGCTGCGCTCGATCGCGGAGAGTTTGCGTTTGTTCTTCTCTTTCGAGACCGCTCGAGCGCGGTTTCTCCCTCGATATATATCCCTCGATCACGGGGGAGAAGAATGATCCCGCCCCGACTTCCGGCGGATCTGTTTACAAAAACACGGCGCGGAACACACAACGCACGTGTTACAAGCGAGAGGATCCTCTAGACGCGTCGCACGCGAAACGCGACGCCTGCGCAACACGAGAAATCCACGTGCAAAATGCGAAAACCGTGCTGCTGCTGACCCAATGCCCTGTTATGTGTGCGTGTGTGTTTTTTTTAACATTGTAACGTACGTATCGGACACGATGATGGTTCTAGTAGTTCTCTCCGGCGCGGATTGCGAGATTGAGTTTCTCTTTACGGTTTATTAACTCGATAAAATTTCAGAAGTGCGTTCGCCGTTTAATATAAAAACCGCAAAAAGACCATCTCGTTCACAATGGAATTTCACGTTTTAGGCGCCTTCGCGAACTCCCTCCCACCCCTTCCTCTTCGTACGTCGCTTCGCGAAATGAGAAAAGTGAGTTATATTACCCGAAAACGAGGGGGCTTGAACGTGTTTAAGCGTTAATCGCGCGCGTCCGCGCGCTCACAGACAGTCCGCGTTCTTTTTTTTTTTTTTTTTTTATCGTCCGCGGAAGATTCAATTTTTCCGAGGCATTATTCATAGCGCATTACCGCTCTACCGGCGTAGCGGAATTACCGGCGCGCACGCATGCGCTATTATGCACGGCAACTTGTTCAACGACGCCTACACTTGGTCAAGTCCCCCCTTCCCCTTTTCGTCGACGTACAAATGCGCCGTAATTAGAAAAGTATACGTGTAAGCGGCGGTGTTCGTTGACACTATCACGGTCTGCGCGCCTCCAACCCCCGCGCGTAGAAAAAAAACGCGGTTACATTCGATATTTTATGCATCACGCTACGCGAAGCGCGCATTGCACGCGCGCCGCGCTTTTCTCGCTTCTCTTCTTCGTCTTTCTCGCCGTTATTATTCGTGTCAACCATCTGTGTAAGCACACCCGCGGTCGACTATAGGCACGGTGGATGAACCACTCGCTTCTTGCGATCGATCGATTCTCCAATTGCCCCCGTCGTCGTTGTCGTTGTCGTCGTCGTCGTCGTCGTCGTCGTCGTCTCCTTACACGCGATTCTCCCCCCCTCTCTCTCTCTCGCTCCTCCTCTCTCTTCGCGCGCGCGATAGTCTTTCCTGTTCCGCTCGATGTGATAAAATCTTTCCGCCGATTTCTGCGGAAACCAGATTAAAAAATTCGAAAGAAGCCGGGGGAGGAGGGGAGCGAATTTATTTCTTCCTGCGGATATACGAACGCAAAGAATTGCATCAAGTTACCGCGGAGAATGCGGTACAAATTAAAATAATAATGGATAATAAAGTGTAAATTCATTCTTGCGCGAGCACATAGATTGTTTTTTTTAAAGCGTAATTGTTTTAATATAAACTCGGCTGAATTTTTTTACTTCTATCTGCGCACACTTTCGTCGTTAATTTTATATATTGCGGTAAAAATTGTGTGCATTACACCGGTTGTATTTGTGGAAAAACATTAACATTATATGCATTAAGAATTGCTCACGAAAATTCATATAGAGTTTTTCACATAAAATTTGTAAAAAATTTAGGTTACTTTAATTTCGTACGAGGCACGTGAATACGGTTCGCGCGTTTTCTGCAAGTAAAAAATTCGCGACGCAAATCTCTTCACTACGAGAGAGTCTTTGTAAATTAGAAATTTATTCCGCCGTCGTGGGGCTTAGCTACGGATTTCCACAGAATCGATTCTGCGGTTAAAACGCAACAGGTTTTTCTAAGACGGAAGAGAAGAAATCTGAACTTCTCGATCTTTGCACCATTCAGATCAAGATCTTGCTTTTTTTGCGAATTGAAAATCGCTTATTACCTATCTGCTGTATGCATATACACATGTGTGTGTGTGTGTGTGTGTGTACATTACATATAAATTTCAAAAAGCTACATAAATTCAATGTGAAAAAACCGCTTGTTTAATTGAGAAATATGACAAACAAATTAACTTGCACGTTCAGGTCAAGATCTTGCTTTTTTTGCGAATTGAAAATTGCTTATTACCTATCTACTGTATGCATATACACGTGTGTGTGTGTGTGTGTGTGTGTGTGTGTGTGTACATACATATAAATTTCAAGAAGCTATAAATTCAATAAAAAACCGATTGTTTAATTGAGAAACATGACAAACAAATTAACTCGCACGTGTGTGTGTGAGATGACTTGCACAGATAAGCGTAGCCTTCAATAAATATTTTATATTATTTGTACGACGCGCGTGGACACGTGTGACAATAAACGGGATATACTGTTACACTTATCTTTACTTACGACAAATTTGTTTGTTTTGTTTTTTTTTATAAATTCTAATTTTTTCTCGCACACGTATCTCTGACAAACAAACAAACAGTTCGTGAAAATCTCAGCGATATATGTTTATACGTTCCACCGGATTATTTTAATGAATCTTTGCTGTTTCATAATAAATTTTATTTGCGCGCAACATATGTATAACTAATAGAGACAAGATCGTTTTTTGTTACAGACGCGCGGTTGCGCACAAATTAAGACAGGGGGTAAAAAAAATAAATAACGCACCGGTGCGTGTATATTTGCGCGAGCGTGTCAATGGTTCTTTGACATCTAGCTTCTGTGTCCCTTCCCCACCCCTCAATCGTCCGGCGTATTTTATGGTGGCAGTGTCTCGGTTGTTAGACCCGTTTATCTAACGTTGTTCCAGTCCCAACCAACGTCGTCGTATCCATCGTCAGCGAATCATAAAATTCGCAGCAGCCAGATACGCGATACAATCGTCTACGTTTCGCTCGTTTACTACGTGTATATACGACGCGCAATCGAAACGAGCATAATGAAAAGCGGTGAAGTATCGTCGTAAACGGGTAATAAGAAGACACTGCCGTATCTAAGAGAGAGCTGGAGGCGGGATCACACAGAGAGAGAGAACGCGCGGCTACATATCCTTGAGTTAAAAATACTTATCTCACGAATTTCAATCGGCAGGATTACAGACACGCGTGGGAATAGGACATGAACGTTACACACGGACCCCCGATATTATATTATATTGCAACGTGACCTCTGATATTCCATTGTGTTTTAATGCGTTTTAATATTTATTATGTTTCCTCTTGTATTTTCTTATATTGTTTTTTCATCCAACCGATATATATTTGCTACCTTTCATATATTTACTTATTTCCCATATCTCTCGTTATTATTATTATGCGAGTTGGAAAAGGAAAAAGAGAAAAATTACATAGCATAAAATTTTCTTTATGCTCGCGCGGTAAGATTTAACGGACAAGCGGAGTTTGCAATTTTACAATAATTGTGTGTTTTAGACTCTCATACACGTGGATTAATTTCTGTGTCTTTATCTTTTTTACTAATAATTATTGTCGTTTTCACTAGTTAGTAGTGTGTATGTCATCAGTTTTTTTTTTTTTGTCTATAAAATTATACTCTTCACGCAAAACGGTGAAAAATTCTAATGCGCGGTTGTGTTCGACGAATTTCCAGACTCGCAATCAAAACGCACGCCGATTTTCAGCACAGTCCTCCCGCGTAACTCACTTCGCTCTATCGATTAAAAATTTCCTTTCTATCTCCGGCGGATCAAGCGCGTCACGCGACATCCTATCGCTCTCTAGCATCGCGACGAGGGGAAAAAAAATCGAATCGCGGCGGGGTCCGATCGATTCGCACAGCTGGTTTCCTGCCGCACACGCAAATGCGTATCTGCACATGCATATATGCAAGCAGCGCGCCACCAAGCGTCATCACGCTTAACACACGTGTTACATGTGCGCAAAGACGCGTGTGCGTGTGCCCACGGATATAGTAAGCGCGCGCGTATGACGCGCGACACAACATCGCCGCGTGAACGTAAGTGCGTAAGCGCGGCGTACACGCCGCTACGCACGTGTGTAGGTCTGTACGCCTTCACACATCTCTCTTCCCTCTCTCTCCTCTCTCTCTCTCTCTCTGCTCTGCTGCTACGAATTCCACGTCGGATTGGCCATTGCAGCGCTTTCCCCCCCTCCTCTCTGGGCCGCCTGTGTCGTCACTACGGCCTATTCCATTCAGTCACCCGTACGGGCTCGAATGTTACTACTGCCGCTTGTGCATTATATGTCCTTCTCCCTCTTTCTATCTCATACTCGCGCTTCTTCCTTTCTTTTTTCTCTCAGTCGTTCCTACAGGAAGTGCAGGTGTCTTCTTCTGACTAACGCGTTCTCTCTCTCTCTCCCTCTTGCTCGCGCGCATCTCTCGTTCTCTCACCACGCGACAGCAGCGTGTCGCGGAAACGTTTTCGCACAGGTTTCCAACCTGACCTACGCGCGAGCGAAGCACGACTAGGGACGACAGAGACCTCGACGCAATGTCATCCGGTAGCAGAGGAAGGGCGAGAGAAGGTAAAACGAGAAAGAGAGAGAAGAGAATGCGGTTTCCTTCTCTCTAGGAAGACTGAAAGTAGCTCCGAGCGAGCTTCTTCGTGCGCTCCTAAGCGATGATTACAGTTTCTTAGTCATCCTCACTATAGGCTTAAAACCCCCCGTCGCTATTGCTTTGAAAGCCTGTCCGATGTCATCATTATAACATCGCATTTATTTTGAATCGATCGTCGTTTCTCCGCAGGTGTGACAACAAGAATCGCGGGGATTGAAATCCAGAAGGATCGCAAGAGAGTAAGAAAAATCCGGTGGCATACCTAATGCTTATTCCCTCACGCTGTTGGAAACCGGCTCGTGAGAGAGACCGATGAACGATGCGGTGTATCACTCGGTGGAATTCTCGTCCCCGGAAGCTCACCAACGTCGACTGGTCTCGTAATTCATCACGCGAACCACTTCTCGTTTTTATTCAACTGCACTGCGCTGCGGTGGATCAATTCGAATCACTGTCGTGTCGCGCAGTAATTTCCCGCCCGCCCGCCCGTTTTAAAAATTATTCGACAAATATGCGAACAATAAACGGCAAAGCAGAAAAAAAAAAAAAAAAAACAAAAACATATGACGTTAGAGTTTCCTTCATCAAACTGCGTGCGATTGCAACGCACAAAGTAAAATATACGACTTCATATACCGATATGAAGTAATATTACTTTTCGTATGCGAACGCGTATGTGTATATATCGAGGGGAGAGGAAGAGGGAAAGAGACGAGAAAGACTAGCACAAAGTGACCGATAATTTTTCCGGTTCAGTTTTACGAAGGTCTACGACCCTGGTAAACACGCGGCAAACGTGCGATATGCATTATCAAGGGCTCACGCATATCAAATTATACGCCGCGCATTTGTTACTGATTAATTCTTAATACATATTCAGAGACGAGAGATTGTTTGTATTTTCAGAATTGCTTGAAATATAAATGCAAATTTACGAAAAAAACTTCTTCTTTTATTCATTTGAATGAATATACAAATTAACTTTGTTTGTTTATGTGTGTGTGTGTGTGTATGTGTTTTTATATATAGAGATTATATAAATTAAACAAAATTTAAATTTGTAGCTTAACAAAAAAAAAAAAAATAAAAATAAACTGACTCGTATCAAACGATCGCGAACAACGTGTAACACGCGACAACGCTTCGACCCTTTGCCGCGAAAGAAAGTCAGTCGCGCGATACGTTAAAATAGCCGACTATAGTCTCCCGAAGACTACAGCGAGAAGCTCCTCGGGTTTGTCCTCGCACAGACGTATCGCGCGAATGCACGCTCGGTTGTCTCTCCCTTTTCTTTTCCTCTCGCTCTTTCCTCTTTGTTCTTTCCGCGCGCTCTCTCTCTCTCTTTCTCTTCGTCTTTCTTATACTCCTTTTATCCCGGCGGAAGAAAACGCGAGTCGAGGAGAGAAAGAGCTTGTAATCCCCGTCGCGCCACTGCCGCGCTTAGAATACAGCGAACGTGGAATTCGCGATTCTATCGCGGCATCCGATACACACGCAGTCTTTACAGACCGCTTTGGAGTTTAGACGTTCGTCCTTTTTTTTTTTTAAAGCCTTTCCGATGTACGAACGGATTGCAATAGATAGACAGAAAAAAAAAATCAAAGCAATGTAACACAAAGGACCGGCAATATTATGCTTCAAAAATTAATCCTTTGAAAAGCGGAAAGCGCATCGGTAATTTTATTATTATTATTTTTTTGTTTTTAACGGAGATATACATTGAATTAAAAAACCAATAAAATTTTATATATTTTATACAGGAAAAAAGGAACATATTGAGTGAAATTCAATTTCAACGTATAATGTATGGCAAAAAGTAATTACGCGTTGTTTTTCGTGCCGATAAATAAAGAGCGACGAAGTTTATAGCGGAGAAATAAAGTTGTTTTATGACACACGATGTTACAGCCCCAGCCTGCCGTTATAATGCGAGCTAAAATATTTATTTTCTATTCGAAAAAATGGCTATGAGAAAGAAAGACAGACAAAAGTAATTTGTTGAGTCACTCGGGTACGTGCTATATAGCATCGTCCGATCGAGGACGCGCGGCGTGTCTCTACATCGGCAACGGCCCACACAACACGCAGCTACGATTCCCGTTTCTTTTTTTTCGTCGCAAAATCGATCGATATCGATCGCGCAAATGAAACTTTCACGAAAGCGCGATGCTTCTTCCACGACAAAAAGGGCGCTACTTTGTGTGAAAACGCGAAATAAAAAGACACAGCGCGCAATCATTTGAAGAAAAAAAAAACCAAGAACATCGCTTTCGAGACTATAGTCGACGTTCTTCGAACATCGATACTCGAAAGCGAGCAGCAGGCAGAACTGGCTAATAATGCCTTCTATTCATGCCCTCGTCCCCGTTGTGCATTTCCTCCGCAAGTTAAAGCGGCAAATATGCGAGAGATCCTGCACACATCGGTAAGTGAAAAGAGAACCTCTAAAAGCCTCGGTTTTTCCTACACATACGCGGTCACGCGTCGGTCTTGTTTAAACTTTCAGCGAGAGAAAGAAAGAGCCCGCGCACGACAAAAAGAAAGTAAAGAGAACCCAGTACGGAAACACGTACGGAAAATAGAGACAAGATAGAGATTATATTGTTTCCGAGGCGCGGTTTTAATGTGTGCCCTGAAAAGAGCTTCCCCCTAACAGGAAGTAACGTGCAATAAAACTAAAACACATGAGAAACAAGCGCGATAAGATAAAATTATCGAGACCGAGTATACGCACATGCCGAGAACTGCGGCAAGAACATGTACGTGTAATAATAATAAAGAGACGGAGCGCGACAGATGTTTAGAAAGAGAGGAGCGAATTTTATTTTTGTGCCCCGGGATCAAATCTCCTACGTAGCGAATAATCATTTGTACTGATAAGTGCGACCAATAACGAAATCACCAGTAACGTTTTGCAGAAGAGAAGCGACACGATTAAAGCGAGACAGCGACGGAAAGTGCGACGCGAAGAAAAACGATCAGGCAGATGGCAAAAGACGAGAATTCACAAAGTGAAAAGAAAGAAAATGAAAGTTGGCGCGGATAGAAACGAAAGAGAGAGAGAGAGAAAGAGACGCGAGACGAGCAAAGGGCACGTGGAATTGGACAGCGAAGGGAAGGGCACCTCTTTTCTCGCGTTGGCAACGCGCCCTCCCGCGGGACGCGCGGCGGGGCGGCGCGGCACTGCGCGCGGAGCGACGAACGGGAAATGCTCGTGGCGCGGCGTGGCGTGTGTATCTCTCTTCGTGATGTTATACCGCGCGCGGCTTGTGCTCCGTCGCGTGCGCGCACGGACAGACGGAACCGTATGAGTCGCGGGGTACGCGTAGAGCCTAGGCACGATACTGAGGACCTCCGCGATCCGCGGCGGCTCGGCGCTTTCCTCAAGAGGGAGGAGAGACGCGGGAGAAGGCGAGACGAAGGAGAGGGGATCGTGGACGACGGCTGGTTGAGGAGGAGGGAGGAGACGGGAAGCCGGCAGGATAGAGGCAGGGGCAGAATTCTCTCTGTTATAGATTAAAATTTTTTACGGGGAAGATATTGATTGTTGCTTTTTATTAATGTAACATTAAAGTGGTGCCCGCGGCAGTGGGGGTGATCGCGCCCCGCTGTGCCTGCGTTGCGTCCAGTGGAGGGGCCCCCTCTGGAATAAACGGAGTGGGGCGATTGAGTAGGGATGGCAAAGGAGAATCCCGCGGCGTGGTGGGAAGAAGGGGATCAGAGACGGAGGCGCGCAGCGACAGGGCGAGGGGAGGAAATAAGAACGACGGCCGGTAGGGGGATGCGGAGAAGAAGATCTGAACGGCGGCGAGGGGAAGAGGCGGGCGGTGGGAAAAGGGGCACGGGAGAACGCGTCGCGAGGCGCGTCGGCGGTAGAGACGACGGCGAGTAGAGGAGACGGACGGCGGAAGGGCTCGAAGCGGCGGAAATGCCATAAATACGAACATTTTTCGTAACGTCTTGCAGCCCTGTTTTGACAATCATCCCCTCCACAACGACTCAACGTGCCCTCTCCGTCATACGATTCCTACTACCTAGACGGCGGTGGTCCCCCTCGGAACCCCGCTTGCTCGCATCGTTCCTTCTCACCCTACTCGCGCTCTTTCCCTCCGTTCGTTTCTCTCCCCTTGCTCATCCTTGGGATCTTAAATACGTAGATACACTTACACACATGCGGGGGACCGACGGCCTCACACACGATGTCTCGCACACCCTTTCCGCCTCACCTAACCGAGCACCACGCAGACTCGTCCCCTTTCTTTCCAAACCCACTCCACTCTTCGCCCCCGTACCCCACGGCCTATTCTTCTACTCGCTTTGACATTTTTCGCGAGTTAAGGCCCGTTCGAACTTCGCGGAAATCCATCTTGCGCTGACTCGCCGCCGCCGCCGCCGCCGCCGCCGCGCCCCTCTCGTTTTTTCTTTCTCCCTGTCTTCTCGGTTCTCTTCTCCTCCTCCTCCTCCTCCCCCGCCTCCCTGCCGAGCGCTTTTTTAATCTTTTTTTTTCTGCAATTCTTTGCCTCTCTTTTTTCGAGAAGACGGAGAGAAGTCGACGGAGCGGATCGATGCTTCCTTTCGAGACACCGACGATGAGCAAGAAAAGACGAAGCGAAAAGACCTCCCCCCCCTCGCCACAGGCGGGCCTCGTAATTGTCGATTTACCGACGACCTCGACGCTTACGTCGATGTAACTTGTCACCGCATGTCGCGTTAGCACACACACACACACACACGCGCGCAGAGCGTCGGATTGTAATTGAGTCGCGGAGAGAGATTGCGAAAGGGAAAATGATTAATGGCGTCACACGCGACGCGATCGGATCAGAGGTGAGATTAATCGAGGGAAAACGCTAATACGAGTTCATCGCACGCTCGATTACGTATGTAACCGTTATATGTACGCCAATCTTCATAATCCCTCGCGCGTTGTCTCGTTGTCAGCTGCATTCTCTCTCCGATCTCTATGAGCGGCAATTCCGAGCCGTTAAAACCATTGAAGGCTGAACCATTGAGAACATCAAGCCCGAAGAGAAATCTTGTTTTATCCGCGCTTTTACACAACGAGGTTCGTGTGTCTTTTCTTTCGCAAAGAACATTCCGATCGAACAAACGTTCTTTTGCAAATAATAATTTGAGGAACAAGTTCACGCATTTTCAGTTTCAACATAGCACACACACACACACAAAAACGAACTCTGTTCTTCTCTGTTGACTCTGGGAATTTCCTAAAGGGTCTTCGTGTCAGGTTA